GGCTTTAGACCATAGGTTTTTATGACACCTGCAGGGTCCAGAAGAGTGAAATCTGCAATATTGTGGAAACATTTTGAGGTCATTTTCCTCCCAAAAGAAATCCATATGCAATCTGCTCGTGCTGACAAAAACATTACATTTTGAAAAATGCAAACCTCTCGACTGTAAGAATAACTCCTCATAATGTTTAATAAGCACTTTTAGCAAGGTATTCCCATTTTATTGAAAGATAGTGGCTCAGACGTAATAATGTCTTGAAAGGGGCCTTAAACCCCATTTTCATTCAATGAGATCCCGATGAATAAAATGTGAAGTGCACAGTTTTCTTTGTCCACAAGTGAGATTAGAGTCATCATGTTTGCAGCTTTGCGTTGCTGTCACATTTGGGTGTGAAATTATTATTTCCTGCTAAACACCCACAGTAAAGAATCCTCACACATTGTTCTCAGAAAACAGTGCACTGCTCTGCTATGTTTAAAAAGTCAAGAAAAAATTTTGGCATTTTTGTAACCAATGGCACTGCTATCAGATCCCCCCTCCCCCAGCCTTGATGTTTAAAATTAATCTTAGAGTTAAATGAAATTGCTTGGAAGGGGCTGCTTCAGATGTGGGTACATTACCAAGACAATGAACACGTATTTGTGGTTTTGACGAGGTTAGAGTGTTGCAAATAAATGTTACAGAAAAGCACCATAGTGCTGACTTAGACATGCATCAGTTCGTTCTGCATTAGTTCCACTGAAAGTGGAAATGTCAAATGAGAATTTGACCACAAAATTATCTTAAGTTATTGTAAAGAATCTTAATAATTTCTAAGCAAATGTTCAAACTTTGAACGACCAAAAAGAATAACTCCAGACCTACACTTTGCGATCAGTGGGAAACATACTGATACAGAGTTGGTTAAGTTGAGTTCAGGGCAGATAAACTGTGATCTAGAATACTGTATAAAATTCAATAGATTTGAAAGGAGCCTTATCTGACAAATACTTTTCACATTTTATAGGTTCTCATTGTCTCGTTGCTCCACATGTGGCATCATAACAACATCATCTAATCAGTAGATCTTGAATTGGCATCTACAATCTTCTGTTTTTTTCAGCTCAGTTTTAAAGAGTGTTGGTTCTTTGTTTTAGAATAGCTCAGACCAGGATGACCTTTTTAGGCTGTGTTGAGTCTTGCTGTAACCGTGAGCAGCCAGTAGGGGGTGCTGACTTTTTTCTGCGGGTTCCTGCATTGGCCGTTGGAACAGAGCAGAAACCCTGAAAAAGCAATGACACAGCTAAGTGCCTGTGAGTGCTCTAAGTGCTAGAGTTAGGCCCTGCTCTCAGCAACTATTGTGATATTCGAGCAGCTGCTACATGAAGTTGCCTAAGCCTGCAGTGTGCCCTCTTCGTTGGACACTGCAGGGTGTGGAGGTGGTCTGTTCTGAGGCAAATGATAGGGAAGACATGGTGAAAAAATAGTCTTTGAGCTACAATAAATTGATGAAAATGTGGCCCTGTTAAATTCAATCTATACAGAAGTATAAAAACACAGATATTGAAATAGAAAACATACAAAGATTTAAATGTATTCTTATTACTATCATGGGTGCTCCTCAAGCCCACCTCAAAACGGCGATGACACCACAACCAAAATCAACAACTACAGGCTGAACATACCAAAAAAAAAGTTTTTGGAATCAGTTTCCAGTAACAGAAATTGTTATTCATGGTTCTGTTGCTATAAGTAACTAAAAATATAAAAAGGGGTCTATTGCTCACTTAAACTATCCTGAAATAATCAGTGATAAACATTTGATTACTTTGATATAAACCAATTTTATTCTTGTTCATACATTTTGTTCATTAAAGCATTCTTGTGCAGTCAATAAGCCAAGTTTCAGTGCAGAGCAATCTTTAACAGACAAACTAGTTGTTACATTGTGCCACCTTGACATAAATAAACTTAACAACATTCTGCTGAGGGGCTGTTCACAATGTGTTGAGCTGTGAAAGAAAAAAGCACAGGAAGGACCACATTCAATGTTTTTTTTAAAAGGCCAAACAGAGCACAACGAAAAACCTGTAGCTCAATTTTCTGGTTATACTGCGGCTTCAGCTTTTTAATGGACACAACTAAAAATACTAAATCAAAGGAAATTATGAACCAGTTAAAAACAGTATTTTGAGATAGGACTTGAGAGGTAACACTTGCAGCTGGGAGACAGAAAAAAAAAAAAGCACAGGGTAAATAACAAGGGAAAAAAGGAGATTTTTGTCAGATTTGAGAGTTTTTAAATGCATGGTGTACAGTACGATTATGATCAAATTCAAAGCAGTGAATCTGGGTTCTGTGAAGGGGATATTTTTAGAACACCACTGAGAATTTTGAAAGTCTTTGAGCGATTCTCTCTTGTGAAAGAACTCCCTCATGTCTGTCATGGACATTTTGCCATGTCTCACTTGTTTTCAAAATAAATAAATGAAAATCTGTTTTAGTTCAGTCAAAGGGCAGCAAATACAGCAGACATATTGCATTAGGTTTTAAAGTTTATTTAAGTGGAAACAGTAGGTTCAAATGTTCACGACTTTCTTAACATCTATTAATAAATCCATCTGTTCCCTTTCCTGTTAGGGATTTTATCATTTCACAACAGATAATCATTACAGCAGCTACTTTTGACTACTTTGCATTAGCTCAGCAATAATATAAAATCATGAGGAAATAAACTATTCCTGAAAGAAGGCTATATGCACTAAACCTTGTAAAATTTCTTTGAACAAGTAATTGTTTCCATTTTTGACTCTTAAAGCCAGCTGGAAGCCCATTCAAGCTGGAAACAACTTGTAGAAAAAAAATACCGAAGGGAGAAGGAAGGCAACACACTCAAATAGGCTCTATGAAGGAAATAAAATCAGTAACACAGTGATCTCTTGTCTCCTTGCAAACAGTTAGTAGTTTGTTGTCTCAGCGTTTGTTTCTGTACTTACAGGGAGACTCTGACCTGCTGCAAAGCAGGCAATTAGTGACCAAAGTATCACCGCATGCACAAGTTCTGACTCCGGTCTCTGAAGAAGAACTCCTTCACTTGCAGCAGGTTCTTCCTCCTCTCACCTCCTGGTGGCTGATCCCGCATCCTTCGTTTTCGTGTCTTCCGTAGTCCGACACTTTGTCTCAGATGATTTCCAGGACATCACAGGGCACATAGCCTCTCTTCTTTCCGCTTGCGACTTTGATGAAGCCGCAGCGCTCGCCCTCACTGCTCACACAGATCTGATACAATTAAAACAAACAATCAAAATCTCTTTATGTGCCAAAGCTGTGCATTGTCAGTCTGGTCCATTTTTACAATATTTTGGTCATTTGCTTCTGTACAGTTCGATGAGGCACACTAACAGAACTAAACTTGTCTGAACTGTTGATTTCAGCTTCAGAAGGACATTGTATTGTATTCTTATAAGGAAGCAGAGGCTTTTTTAACGGTGTCTGACTTATTAACAGCTGTCTCCCAGTCTGATATTCAGTCTAATGTCAGATCATTTAAAACTCAAAATAGATGGATAGTTAAAATGAAAAAAGTGCAGAAATTCAATTCTTTCATTCAAATTTTGAATGACCAAAATATATACATCCTGGTTCCAATATTAGTGATAATTTGACTGTTGCATCCTGAATTCAAATTAATTTAGTTTAAATGTTTTAATTGACATCTTTATAGTTTTTATCATTCCTTCTCAAGTTAAAAAAAAATGCCTGGCCATGGTCTCAGCAGGTCAGAACAGGTGAAACTGGAAAAAGCTAGTCAGCAAGTCACAGTTACTTCTCCTGTTTGATGTTCTCTGCTAGGGGTTGATATTTTTAGGCTTCCCTCTTCCAACAAGCCATGGAATTGTTGTGCTGAAAAGGAAGCGTGTTTGAAGCACTGCCATTTTGCCAAAACACTAATTTGAGGGTATTCTCTGTCTATTGTCTCAAACTAAGCTTATCGCTGAGTGTCTGTCATTGAAGCGTAACAGGAGGGATGATAAAAAGGTGTTGCAGGAGGAAATGAAGAAGTACTGTTATGGCCGAGGTGTCACACTGAATTAGATAAAGGTGTGATGAGGACATCTCCATAATAAAAACTGCTACATTTTTGATGATCCTCTTGGGATTGGTCTTGTCACTGTTTTGTCTGGCTCTTCTTGACTGGCTCTAAAGCTGAAAAGTTTGCCTGGACAAGAGGACTGAAAGTCCAAGAAAAGCTTGACCTTAGCAAAACTTATAGAAACGCTGAGAACTTTTCAAGGTTTTTCAAAGAGATACCAAAAGGTAATTACACTCAATTCAAAATGCAGCTGACCCAAACAACACTAATGGAGGGCGGGTGCTGTCGTCTGCAGCAGCATGAAACTGAAGCAATTAACCAGCAGCTGTGCTTAAAGGGACAATCACTTTTTTTTCCAGATGACTGGGAGGTTCAATCTGATTAGGTGGGCCCGATTTAATCCACCCTTATATCACACATATCGAGAGAGAAACCTGAAGTCTTTTAGAATAAAACAGCCAACACCTGGGTCAACTAATACACAAAGCGTACAGATATTCGATAAATCATTCTGAGCACCTGACCATCCTTCAGGGTGATCTGCCCTTGCTCCTTGCAGCCAATGAACGTCCTGTGGCATCTGAACACTTGGTCCCTTGCTTGTAGTGGGTGAGCAAAGGCTGCCGGAAAGAAACCGATCCGGTCATCGATCACCCCCTGAAAAAATACCAAAACAAAACATTAATTAACAGGGTGAATAACTGTGCACACGAATGATTAGATGCACGTGCTCTACTGTATGTACACCCCCACAAAGTGGCCAAGAAAGGCCACGTTGGCTCACAGCAATATTGGAAACAGGTGTCATTTAGGGGGCTAATGTCTGTCTTTTGACTCGCTCTCTGTCGTTTAAACCCCAAACAGACCAGATGTCTCTGTTTATCTGCAGGATGCAGAGGACAAAAGCGTTAAAAATGTGATGAGTTTTGTCACAGTCTGGAGGAAACAGGCCGCCTGGGTGCAGTCATTTGTCTGCCCCTCGTGGTTTTGTGATTCATCTTTTATACATTTGTGTCTTGAGTTGGCACCTTGCTCCCATCTTGTCTAGCTTCACCTCCTAAAATCCTTTAATCCTTTAATTGAAATTAAGCTCTTGGATTTGTGAGAAAAACAGAGACAATACAATCTAATCGGGACACACTTTGGAGAGGTAATTATGCTACAGAAAAACATGTTAGTTTCCATACTTTGTAAAAAGTAAATAAATGTTTCATACCTACCTTCCACCAGTCCTCGTTGGAGTCGTCAGCCAGTAAGATCCTGTCTCCTGCTCTATAAATAAAAACATACAATAGGAAAAAAACGATCTTTTTAAAAAATATGTTTATCTGCAGAGCACGAACAATTCATTTTAAAGTTCATCTTGCTACTATTGTACAATGAAAAAGCAGCTATCACAACCAGCCTTTCTGCACAATGTTTATTTATATGTCGCTTTAAGCCTCTGAAGAAGAGTTTGTGCTGCTTTATTTGCCCTCTTTATGAACATGTACAATCCAGTACAACACGTTGTCCTCTGGGATCAATAAAGCTGTTTCTTTTCGCTGTGATGTCAAGCAGAAATTCATATGACGTGAAACAGCTGAACTCCTGAAAAAAATCTTTATCCAGGAAATGGATGAATCATTGCATCCTTGTACACCGTGTGCCATAATTACAAACATCTGTTCAGAGCTGACGGCTTCATTTGGCTTTTAAAATTAAAACGAAAGGCCTGGATCAGTTGAGTCAAACCCTAATTGATCTAATTTAGTTTTTTATTTCCTATGTTGTTCAGTTGCAAGTGTGAGGTTGATGTTTGCCTGGTAATAATCACAATGACTCAGTAAACACCAGCCGGGAAAACATTAACTACATCACCTCACAGCAGAATGTAATAACATGTGTAAATATGGCAGCAAAAGAAGTGCACAATAAACCTAGCTTGCTTCTTTCTAAATGTTTTTCACTTAACATATTCATTTTCTCGTGTCCTTGGAGGCTGAGGAGAAAATTAAGTTGGATGTTATGCTTTCATAGAGGAAGACATCTGATTCAAAGGTATCAGTGGGCGGGGAGTCAAAGAGAAGAGGCCTATGAATTTCAAATGACGTCTGAGCATTGAAGTTTTCCTTGACCAAAGGGAGACAGGATGCTTGTGAGTGTCAGTGGTGTGCGTGTGTGTTAATAGGCAAAAAAGTGCACCCTCTCAACCCTAAACCCCCAGGAGATTTCAGTTAGAACCAAGAGAAAAGTGGTCCTTAGATTTAAGTACTGCTCATCTCTAAATGCTGAGTTTCAAGCCATGACAGGTCTGATGCACTTAAAAGGCCAAGTAACTCCAGAAGCATGATAATAATAACTGTAATAATAAAGCATCAGCTTCATAAAGCACTTTACAACTGAACGCATTATACATTCACTCTTCCTTTCGTTTGGAAGCATCATTCTATATCTAAAACTGTCCTCCAGACCACCACAGTCCCACTATCACAGTCACACAGGGACAGGTTGGATTACCTGTCTTGCCCAGGGGCACAAAGGCAGTGTGCCCTGGGGTGGGGATTCGTATCGGCAACCCTAACCCTTAGGCTAATGCCTAAGCATGAGAGGTGGCTTAGTTTTAATAAATAGAATACTTGAAAATAAATATTTTCAGCAGAAGTCAAAGGAAGCTGGAACTTGAAATATTAAATATAGAGTTTAGATCAGAAGAATTTGAGACTAATGGTAAACTATAGCAGCGTGAGTCTAACCCAGGAATCATGTCAGCATCATTAACCGTCTGAGCGTGTACGGCAAAAAAATAACTGGATTTTGATTCTTAAGTGAGGTTAGTTTGAGGTGAAAAAAGACATGTGAGACAGATCAGTTTTTGCTGTTCATAGAAAAAGCAGAAAAAGAAAAAGAAAAAGCTTTCAGAGGTCACCAAACAGTGGAAGAAAAGGCTACTTTCCCAGAAGCATCATTTCAGTAAAATTGGAAATAATACAGGAGAAGAATACAAAAACTTAATCTTTGACTTGAAAACAGCCAAGAACCACCTTTACCCATGTCTATTATTTTCAGTGGAATTTCATCCAAGCTTTTGTATAATTTTGTATTTGTAAATAATAAAGGCCAACAGAAAGCCAGCTATTCTCACACACAAAATAGAAAAAGTTGTTAGTGTTACTGAAAACGTAAGTGAAACATAAACAAACAAAGCAGCAAAGCTGCTGTCTGCTCTATATCTTCTCTAAATTACACAACTATTCAATTTTATTGCTGGCCTGAAAAATGCAACCGTCTCCCCATTCGGTTCACTATAAATCAAATTAGCAATTGCTCTCAAAAACTATATATCCCATCTTATCTAATGGAACAGTGTCACAGCCTCATGGGCACTACGAATAGATACGGATCATCCATCGCTCCTGGGATGAATCGGAGTAGACGCAAGACTGAAGAGATATTAATAGATAATCACATCACCCACACAGATACTGTTAACAAGATCACTCAAAAGAACTCCAACAAGGACACTAATTAGCCCCTTATGTAAATTCATTTTTGCTTATTTTATGCTGCCCTTCTCTGAATAAACTCATTAGATTAACTAAAGCCGAGAAAAGGATACAGACACATTAATTAGCAGGCAGCAGGATTTCCTGACATCAAAAAGTCTCCCTGCTAAATAACAGGCAGCTCTTTAACAGAACTCATCTGTCAGAAGGCAATTCCCACAAACTGTATCAAAACACTCCATTGTGTGAGCAAACTATTGCACTTCACTGCTTTGGAGAGGTGCGTTTGCCAGAAGGTCAACAAGTCTCTGTTTCTGTCACGACTGCTACTGGAGTTAGACAATTTACTGAGAACACATGGCTGATGTTACACAATAAACTCTTTGTTTCTTATTTGAGTGACGAAGAAAGTTTGATTGAAATTCATTAAATTCTTGTCCTATGATTAACTTACATGAATTACTTTTATTAAAAAAGTAACTTCACTCTTTAGAAACAGGAACAGACCACTCTGTCCTGCAAGTGATTCAATTTGTCTTGTTCAGAGGGTTCAATGTGATTTCATATGAAGTTTGCTCTTGCTGACATCACACATGCAGCACTTGAGCCTCATATTGAACGACAACAAAAAAAAAAAAAGTCGGAAGTGTCGGTCATGCTTTGTTGAAAGTGCTGTACTGCATAGTTCAGGTGGGTATTGTGGTATTTCTTTATACACATTTCTTTAAAGTGTGGGTGTGAACAAACCTCATTTCCAGGTCATGGCTCTCTTGGGCGGTGAAGTTATACAAGGCCACATAGGTGTTGAGCTTGAGCACATCCCTTTGTAGCTCACCCTGCTCCATCTACACAAGACCACACACACAAACACACACACAAACCTTCAGTCAAACATCTTGCATTGTTTCTTTCTTTTTTGGGGGGGCCCAAAATAATTCATTGACATTCATTTTAGAAAAAGAAAACTCTGTTTACTCCACAGTAAGACACTGAAGCTTTGTCTAAGTTGCTCTGCAATCTGTTCCTTTTAAATCTGCGATCAAAGCACGAGTGAGAAAGGCAGGATCTGGCCTCCGTCTTAAAACAGCATCGGGTTGTGGAGGTGGAGAGGAAGTTCTCAGTGAAGTGTCGGCACAATTAGCAGGAAGATAATGAATGCCAGTATCTGGCCCTCTTCGCACCTGCTGAGAAAACCGGTGGGTGTGTTTTTTCCTGTTTCATCACTCAGTACCTTACGCTTAAATCCTGCCTGCGGTATCCCACCCACTATTAGCTCTCCCTCCACGTCACAGGAAGAAAACTCTTCCAAAAAATATGGCTATGACTTTTTAAGAGTTTAATAGCTTGCACAGCAATAGGATTCTCCATCTTTGTGCCACAATAATGAAGTGAAATGGCTCCCCAAGCTCCGCCGACAAGGACTGGAAATTTAGCTGATGGATGGGACGAGTTAACTGTTGCCACGAGGCAAATTGCCTTAGCAGCCTCTGGATGAAAACAGCAACATCAGGCAGTGGCGATCCATTACAGATAACAGAGTCGCTCTCTGGCCTCAAGGGATTTCTGACACTTAGGCTACGGGTAAAATAGTGCACAGCCAAGATAATACCCCCCCCCCATCCTTGAGTTGCACTTGAAGTGACGGATGATGTTATGATAGAAAATGTATGTTTTTCATTTCTGTGGCTGACGTGATGTCGGCTCATCAACAACAGCATCACTTAGAATTTGTGTTTCTGGACAACCAGGTGAATGTTCAACCTGTTTTGGGGCTCCTGTTGGGAAATTATGACCACAACTTTTTCTGCTGTTTGATCCAAGTCAGGCTGAACATAAGTATTTGCTGAAATGTCTGATGAGATTTAGGATAGATTAGACTAATACTATTTAACCATCATATTGTTTGACAAAGATTGTGAAAAGTGTGAGCGGACAGTTATTTTTTGTGTGAATGTAGGCATTCCTATATGTGCACTGAGACATCCTTTGGCGAGGAAAGAGTTTAAGCATTTTTCTTTGCTCATTACCCTGCAGAGCCTCCATCTGTCTGTCCTGAGCTAATGGACCTGTCAGCTGACAGACGAACCGCCCGCTGCCAGCTGTGCTTGCTCCAGCCAGATAACGCTGCACAAGCCTCCCTGAAACGGATGACCAGACCACTAGATTTCATTGCAAAGGATATGTGTGCATGTTTGTGCACGAGCGTGTGATTGCCTTTTATGGATATTTGGTCATTTTTCATTTTGTTTCCACGTATCTTTTGTTTGTTTTCCACTGTTGACAACTAGGACAAACATGTTAAGCTATAAAAGTAAACAGAATAGATAGCTGCATGGGGAAAATATTCACAAAGAACTGTGATATGGAGAAAGCACCTCTCCCACATATCCCACCAGGAAGGAGAAAAAAGAGTGTAAAGGCCCATGAAATATTCATTGCCGCTCTACAGGAGGTGACGAGATATTCATGGAGTATAACCTTTTTTCTTTCGGTGGCTTAAGTTTTGCACCATCAGCACTGTGTTGAAGAATAACCACGGAAGGAAATACTCGAAAGTCTCAGATCCAAACATTAAGGTCAAGGCTTCTCAGTATCGGTGCAGGCCAACGGTCACGTCAGCTTGAGTTTGATTTGTTACAGCAGGAAGAGAACAGAGAGTTTTTCCCCCAAAGTCCTGGGAAATTCAGCTGTGTCGATGGAGGTGGGGGGCAGGATACTTAATGGACCCGGAGTGAGCTGGCTCGGTATCAGTTCTCAGAATGTCCGTGCAGAGTTCAGGAACTGGTCATTGGAAAAAGTCTGTTCTCAGAGGTCTTCGGACAGGGCAAATGACAAAACTACGGAGAAACAGCACGACACCGAAAGGTCCCTCAAAAAAGTGTTACACTAGTTCAAACAAAGAGGAGAAAACATACTCTTACTCTTCAAAAACATACGTTCATACATACTCTTCAAAACTCTTCTTTTACCTCTAACTGTTGCTAGTTAGAGGTAAAAGAAGAGTTTTTTTGTTCCATTTATTAAAGTAAGTGAAAAATGCCCTCCTGTAATGTTTGTGTGTGATGTGTTGCATGGCACTAAGAGCTCAACAACCTTTGTTGTGTGTTGAGAGCTGATGACAGTAGATTTCAGAAAGTATTATGCAATGATAAAACATACATCAAGCTGATATAAATCTATCAATGCTGAAAAGCACTTGAATTGATTATTTTCTCACCGGTAAATCATCAGCCTTTTCCTCTGGTAGGTGGTTACGCTCTGTTCCATTTTCCATGGCTGTAAAAACTGTGAGAACACGCAAGAAATAAAAATAAAAATCAGTGTAAACACATCTCTCATAAGATTTAGGTGAACATCATAGAGTTTATAAGGATTATTAAGGCCTTTTTTATGATCTTTTATGATGGCTTACGAATAAATTTGTCAAGTAGACATATTTACAAAGATGTCCTTTTGGCACACCAGCATTAGAAAATGGTCCCATTTTAAAAATGCATCTTCCCATTAGAGTATTTTTTAAGCTACAATAAGCTTCTTTCTGTTGACCTCTGAGCCTTAAGTAATTTAAATGCAAGAATTTGGTTTTGTTCTTCCAAAAATCTAGAACGGTTTCAACACCTCTTTTGTTGGGTCAGCTGCAACAGTTTAAGGTGAATAATTCAGCAGCAATGACACGGTAATCAGAAACTTATTTCCCCGATTCCATGAACAATTTCAATGCTATGTGTTCTCCCATTACAAATGCCATTGTTGGTAAAGAGAGGTAAAGAAAAGCTAGGTGTCCAAATGTTTTTGCCATCTCCAAATGAGTAAACACGGCTCAGTGGAAAACTTTTCTGATATTTTATGAAGGGTCAATTCAACACTGCACCTTCTTAGATTGTTATGAGGCAAGAGGAAAAATAGCCACCTCTGGCTGTGTCACTGCATGGCTTTAATTAAGATACAAACAGTAAATTACAACAGATACCATCATCACTGGGTTTTCTCGACAGCTCCTGCCTACTGCTGTGGGCCAAAACTTCCTCTGGAACATTGTCCAAGTCACTGGTCTGCAGACATTAGGATAAGAATGATGAGTGAGATAAAGACAAATATTGACAAAAGAATTGCAGGAGAGATGAAAAAACTAGTACAGAAATAATATCTGTTTAAATTTAAAAAAATAAAGTGTGGCTCGATTGGTAAGAGTTTCTGAGTTTTAAACTCAACGAATTTCACTGAACTCAGCAGTGCAGTAAACATGCTCGTTCCCAGCCTGCATTTGGAAACTATTATCAGACCCCCGTTGAGATCACATTGTCTCTGAAGCTGGAACTGACACAGACACACACCCATCTGTAACAGCTGCACAGGACAGCAGAGGAGAGCCCAAACCCAACAGCTTTAAGATCTCATCCGACACAGACCCAATTCCAGATACACTTCACTTAACATTAGACTTGATACACTGTGAAAAACAGACTTGACATGCAGATGGATATCAGTTTAATACATCTCCAGAGCTGTAGGCTGAGTGTTTGCACTGACAGATTCGAACATGGCTGCTTGCACTGCATTGCCTTTATTGGTAGTGTTCACAGCCCTGTAGTGGCTGTATCTATTTAGACCATCACAACAGTGTGTGTGATCATGCTGGGCAAAATTATGGGAACATCTTTAAATATCTCATGAAACAAATCAAATTCAATGCCAAAAGTAGGCCATATCTGTATGTGGGCATAAACTAGATATAATAATAAGAAAAAAAAGCCTAAAAGCCTAAGTGACCACCAACACTAAAAAATAAAAAAACTGAGATTTGGGGTCCCCTAGATTTGAAAACGCGCCAGTCAGTGGGTCATTGAGATTCTCTGTCAAATAGAATTAAATCAAATAAATAAATAAAAATTAAAAAGATTCTCTGTCAAATGAAAGGTCCCATCTGGACCCAAGATCAAAGATATTCAGCCTCCCCATCTGTGTGTCCAGCCACAACACAGACTGAAATGTACTTCAAAGATTACAGAGTCTGAATGATATTCAAATTTGTGTGCATGGTGGCACAGACCTACTCAGAGCTCAGAAAACTGTGTCAACTTGTGACAAAATGGGTATTTTTGTCTCTTAAGGGACTAGAGTGACATGTAACCTGTTCTTACCGAGCTTCTGTGAGGGGAATCAGAGCCGCTGGCCCTCTTTGCCTTTTGTGCCAGGGATGTACCGAACCTCAGAGCCTCATAGACGGGGTCCACCTTGTTGCCACATGCTTTGGATCGGAGGAAAAGAACAATCTTAACCTTAAGTTTGCATCATTTCTAAGTTGTCACAGAATTAAACTGCGCCGCCTTCTCGATAAATCACAGGTAAAATAAAATGGGCTTGGGAGAGTGGGGTACTGTGTCACTTTCATGTATTCAATCCCATGCAGAGCTGCAATGAGGAGGAGATTTATGATGCTCACCGATGGGCAATACTTCTTTGATGCAGCCATATTGTTCCTGGATCAGTAGTGGAGAGCTGTAGTATCGCCGAAAGCCTTTTGGCTAAAGAGAGATGGAGAGGGAAAAAGAGTGAGGTGACAGACGTCAGGAACAAATCAATGAATACCACAACACAACAGGCAGCCCAGCAGAACACTGACAACGCACATGACAGAGCGCAGTCACACTTTTCTGAACACAGCTGTCTTCATGTTGGACATGACTGCTTTGACCTAAAAATTCTCGATCAATCAAAACTTCTATGAATGGAAGGTTTTGAGCACCAGCAAAAAATTCAATTCGCCGTATTCTGATTTTTAAAAACATGGGATTTAAAAGTGATCCAAATGACAGGGGGCCTTTATTTCTTAAGGAAATGTTGCAGCACCAACAGCCTTCACTGGAAAGGACCCAGAGCAGGGATTTGAACTGCAGACAGCTACATTGTGGACCTTCAGCCTCTGAATGTGTGATGCCCGCTCAGCCAGTTGACCTAATTAGCACCTCAGTGATGGATGCACTTCACGTGCTTCATGCTATTTTAAGTTTGGCCAGCAGAGATTAACATTTGTACGGTCATCTTTATCAGTTTGTTCAATACAAAATAACATAAAAGCAAGATACAGAGTTAGCTTGATCATTTCCAACATGTTTTAGGATTTTTGGAATTAACTTTGTATATTGGCTGCTTTAATGGTGTTTGCTCTGCCCTTATTGAACCGGTTACCATTCCTCAAAATGAAAAGCCAGACAACCATTCAAGTTATTTTTCAAAGAATAGGATTCATTTTAGGATCAATGAGAGAAAATCTGCACACACCGTTCATCACAGGTCAAAAAGCATTGTAACTTTACAAACGCCACAAGTACGCAGAGGTTAAACAAATTAGATTACTGGAAAGAAAAGAGTTCAAGGGCAAAGTGGACAACAGATGCCGAAGGGGCTGTGCCTGTTTACAAAATGACGTCAGACTTAGTCAGACGTCACAGTTAAAACTGCTCTACCCTGAGGTTGACATGGACCATTAGCTGCACTGAATTGTACATTTTTGTACATTCTTACTTGATTTGTGGAAGAGGCTCATTGCCATGCAGCCTGTGGGGAACACTTGAAGTATTATACTTTCAATCCCACTTAAACTACCTGACCTCCTCCAATCAGCCCAGAAACCAACACATGTATCATTTTGACACCTATTACTGCTTCACATCTGATCAATATTTCCCAATGAGCTCTTATCTCCTCATAAGAACACAAAATATAGAAGACAAATTTCCCTCAGTCTTTAGGGACACCATTCTGTTTGCTGCACACTAGAAAATTACGTTTTTTACTGCAGATTTAGATGACTCAGTTGAAAAAGGACTACCAGTTTGTTTACATTTCATACACTTACGTTAGTGAAACCCACACTGTTAATCACTCCTGATTAAGACTTCTTTTGGCACTTCTTATGATGCTAAAATAAGCAGCTCTCGAGCTCTCCAGGTCTATCTCTAGAAATCAGACATCAGACTAACAAGGGCAAACTCATTAAGGAAAAGGTTACAAGTGCACACTTGCTGGAGCCAATCTAGTCCATTTGGCCCAAAAAGGTCAGATACAGAGAGTAGTTTGTGGGAATGTCAGGGGAAAAAATTGGATATCCAGCATATCTGTCAAAGTCATGCATAACAGAAGGAGTTTCTGTACACGTTGGTGTCTTATTCAGATGGGTCAGAACCTCCCACATGATATCAATCCTACATATTGCTTTTTGATTTCCTGACTACTACCACAGCCAAACGCCCCTTTTCTGGTGAGTGGTCAGCTCTGATTAAGTTGTTGACTCCATCAAATTAGTTTCAAATAGGACAACTTAGTAGAAAACAAAATAGAAAAATCATTTTAACAGACACTTGCCGATTTTGAAACACTCAAAGAATTACATCCATAGACTTTCCTATGCTATTTCTAAGGCAGTCAGTGTGTCACTATATTCAGAAGCTTCCTGGAAAAATGAAGAGACACTGGTTTAACTTTTAGTAAAAATTCAGAGCATGAAGTCACTTGCTTACTTTCTGGGAAGTCATCAAGCCAAGAGAAATAAGCATGACTGCAGAAGGGTCCAACTTTAGAACAAGTTGAATTTAGAGCTGTACTCCTCTGGGGAAACTTCTCTTTTTATGCCTGACCTCTCAACCTCATTTTCCACTCCTGAGAATTGGTCATATCTTAAGCCTCATCCCACAGGCATCGTGTGGAAAGACGTAACAGGGAAAAGTATAAAGGCCAGTTTTATGGTTTTTGTTTCTGTACAATTTAATTTTTTCTTGATAGGGACTTATATAGATGTGACCAGAACCTTTTCTGGACCGCCCTGAAGGACCAGGTCCACAATCAAATAATCAAATTTTAATGTCTACAGTTTATCCAAAAAAAAAAAAGCTTGTGACTTCTATTAACTGAATCTGAATTGTTACCATCCTAGAATTAGGGCAGTCTGCAAACGATGAACATGTCAGGGACAAACAGTACGTTATAGAGTCACAATAACACAACAGCACATGACAGGCTACAGATAACAATGTTAAACCCCAGGAAGGTTATTTTTGTCCTTGCTATAAATTGTGATGAAAATCAACCTAAATAATCTGCTTAAGGTCGATGTTGAGGCCCTGATGAGGTTCTCTGAAGGATTGGGTCACTAAAAGTCCAGTATCTCCAAGACCTTATCTAAAGGCTGATGTCACAAAGCTGATGGTGGAATTAAACAGTTAGCTGTCTGAAAGACACATTTTCAGACGTGCTGTGTTCAGAGAAAATGACGTTTTCTCATCCAGCTCTCCATAAAGCTGGAAAAATGTTCAAAACCTGCCAGTAACTCAAGCGAGGTGAAGTGACTAACGCTTCATGTCACAAGAGGACCACAAAATGAAAAATCTCCTGTCAACAGACGATGTCAAATACAAAGAATTACTTGTAAAGTGTAAAAATCATCATTTTATTCACATACTGTGACTCTGTAAAAAGTGGGCTTGACCTCAGTGTCAGAAACAGAGACATCTTGGTTAAGACTGTGAAATATTAAACACATGAAGCCGCCACATGACTGTCAATAGCACGCTTCTTGGTGATCTTATTTTTCTTTATTTCATGGGTATACAATGATAGCAGCACCCACAGACCTTGAGGGAAGAGGTTAAGATATAAGGAATAATACGGAGGAGGTTAGTTTTTTTTAATGAGCTGTACTGCTCTTTTCTAACATCAAGGGTGATGAAATAAAGATGATGAAGATGGCGATGTGGTCAGAGATGTATCAACACACTGACACAGAGAGCTGAATGAGCACAGTCTGGTGAGAAAAAGTTCAGCAGACACTGATATTTTGTTCTGCCTGTTTTGGTTGGAATAATGGTGACATTGTTGACTGTATTCCTGTGGTTCAGAGTCTGCCAGCTTATCTGAAATTCATATTGTTCCAGTTATATTTGGTCCTCTGTGTCAACTCACCAGTTTTCCCATGCAGCGCTGCTGCCCAACGCCATTCTCACATTTGTGGTGGAGGCTCATCTTGCAGGCCTTGCAGCGGAGGCCATGCTTGGCCGTGTTTCCCGCCAGGAACACCACATGCTTGGCTGTTGTGCCTGTGAGCCAAACAGAAAAAAGAACAATAGGATAAAATCTATGAATTACTGGGGTTCTTTCGCAAACTTGAAAAAACTGCCTGCAAAAAGACAGAGGAAACGGAAAAATATTCATCTTTAAACTGCGTTATTTGAGCTTCCACTGTCTTCATTCTTGCTGTCTAGAGAACTTAAGTTCAAGTAAAAACTAAGCTGCCAAATAAGATGTGAGGGACAAATTTGCAAAATCCAACACATGACGCAAACTTCTGTAAAACTACTTGACCCAAGCAGGGTGTGACTGAGCCCAGTGCTATCTTCTTCACAATGTGAAGCCACCTCAGCCAGATGCCTGCGTGCAGCTTGGTCTCCCTCATGACTCACACTTGCAGAAAAAAATGAAGATTAATCACATTAAATGTGAGCCAAAGTTACGCGACATTGCAAAGGCAATTATTCTTTACGAATGAATGGGTTGGAAATTAATAACCATTGATGAGGGAGAGGAAAGATGGAAATTTGAGAGGGGAAAGAAAAACAATTCCATTAATGATGAAAACGGTGATCTGAGTTTTAAACTGAAGCTCGCATGGTGACAGCAAGACGATGTTCTGATGCAACTTATACAGTATGTGTGTCATATGTTCATAGGATGGAAAGTGAGTTAAGAGAAGATAAAAGATAATTTGGGGGTGTGAATATGCTATAAAAAGAACAAAAGTTCATTGAATAACACCAAAATATAACCATTTTTATTTAAATTAAAGTAGTCAAAGTAAACTTGGAGATTAGAAACCCTGAATCGAAGCATAAAATCTTCTTCCAAACTGTAAAATATAGCCAAATATTGCAAATATTACATTCCACAGGATTGTGTTGGCACATCTGTCTCATCTGTCTCAATTATCATTGTTCTTAATTCTCTACAACAAAAAATACACTTTATCTTTTGGAAGGACCAAATCATATCCAATCCTGCGTGGACCTTACAGCACAGTTTACAACCAGCAGTTGTCTATTGCAGGGTTATGTCTATTCGACAAGAGAGGGGAGTCCATGGCTGCTATTAGCTGTAATCTAATAACAGTGGTTCTCTATTGATTATTCCATAGGCACGTGCGCGGATTAGGAACACGCTCTTCATATACAAGAATAAATATGGGCATGCGGAAGAATCATCCATCATCTTCTCAGGGACTAATTGAGCTGTGAAGAGAAAAGATTATCAGTCCAACTAAAGTTTTAGCAACAAAACATACTCAGTTTGTGCAAAATTAGTTGGCTTTGGAGCAGTGCAGTGATGAGCAGAAAGGATTTGGATTCATCCAAATTATTCTCACAAATGAGGCACATTCGTTCTGACGTGCAGGTCGATGAGGATCAGTGAGCAGAGGTAATCCTGTACTGCAAATACGAAACCAAACAGAGAATCTGATCCCCGAACAAGCACATACAAGATACTGTGTGGCCGTGCACCAAAGCCACTAGTGTTTACCTTACTTAGCTTAGGAAAGAAAAAAATTCTGTGCTTGCTCTTCACATGCCGTATTATCAACTTTGTTATGGCTCTTTGGGTCTGAGCAGCACTGACAGGTACTTGTAAGGAAGGTCTTTCTTTATAGCTTGTTTGATGCTCAGCCAAGCTCATCTTACACAGAGCTGGCATGTTAGATGAGACTGAAAATGAAAGAAAACTGAACCCTTGCTGGTCAGCCCCAGATCACCACAACAACAATGGAAGGAGCACAGACAATGCACACAACCGGAGCCAATTTCTTTTACTCTCAAAATCAGGTCAGCCTATCGTGTTCCCTAACTAGCTGCATCCCAGACAACTCCAGGAAGGCTAACTGTTGGCCATGATTATCTTTGAGAAACCATCGTTTGAGTCCGTCTCTGTGGATACATAAAAACAGCAAGAAAATAATGCACCTGTCAAGCTGCAGTTGAATGGCTTGTTTCAGCTGACTCATACCGACACGGGGAGAATAATGAGACACAATATTGTTAGGAGAGGGAATCAGCCCCGAGAATCAGTGTTTCAGTAGGCAACTATGGGAAAGTAACATTATCATTCTCCCTTTGTAATTACTGGGCAATGAAGTGTGTGATTAGGAGCTCCCTCTTCCCATTAAATGTCATTTAAGTCAGTTTTTCATTCATATAAAAGCAAAGAAATGATCCCATTGCCTTCATCTCCCAAAGAAATGAACTTGATCCATCAAGCACGTTCTCTTAAAAAGGTTGATTACTACTTGTTAAGATAACCCCTGCAACTGTCCAGACATTTTTCTTCATCTGTAGACTTTGCTTTCCTCCACATTTCACAATGAAAAAAATCAGCAACAACTCAGCTGATGTACTTCAGACTTGTGTACTGCAAAGCCATCGGCTGGTTAGATCATAAAGTTGTGATTTTATGTTGTTTACTTTGTGCAGTCTCTGTGTGAACATTGTAGTAATCTGGATTAGTGATTCTCATGAAAAGGTTGTCTATGCAGGATACTTGTAAACTACATGAAATGTGTTAGTCTGTTAACAGCTCATTCATTAGATAGACTCGGCCAATCTGCCATATTTCTTGCGGGGTTATGTGAACAAACCTTTTTGTTTGTTTGATATTTGTTTTTGTTTTTTTTTTGGGGGGGGGGTTCTCTTAAACTGTTAACAATAAGCACTTTCTCATAAAATCACAAAAGTCAGCACTTTTTGTCCTCCAGGTAACATAAATGTTACTTTAAAAATGTATGGAAATCTGGTTGTTTATAGTCTGGACCAGAGTACTGGACCATCTGCTAAATCATGGTGTCATCACTGGAGCCATATTGTAAACACCAGGCTATAACAGCAGTAAGTATACAGCCCTCACTCTGTAAGATAGTGAACTTAAATGTGTGTTTTACCAAAGAAGGGGCTGCATGGCAACATTGTGCTGTGTGACATTACCTTTGGCAGCAAAACTGATTCCCTTACGTTCATAAACTGGTAGGTGAAGCCTTTCAATTTGTTGCTATGCTATTAATACTTGAATGCCTTGATTTAAAAACTAATGCATAAGCTTTGAAAGCCGATCACAAACATACTATTTATCTCTGCAGCATCTGGAGCTATTTATCCTCTCACCAAAAACTTAATTCCAAAATGTCCAAAACACAAGAATATTACCAACAGAAGAAAATATCCATAAACTTACAGAGGATCCCAGACAGGGATTACCTTTATATGGATCGATATTTTGTTTTTCTATCTTTAAGATACGTGTAAATTATGTAATGAGTTTTGTGGACCTTTGGCCATTGGATTAATTCTTTAAAAGGTGCTTGTTCACTGTGTTCCCTATGACCAACATATATCTTCTTGTGTTTTGTCTGTGCTGCAATTTGACTGTGGAACACTGAGTCTGATTGTGACAGAACTAATGCATCATAGAAACATGCTCACACAATGTGCTCTCATTAAACAGGACAAATGAAGAACGGGGCAGAATCTCTTTCGTGAGTGCGCCAGAGGCCATAGAACCATTCCCAGAGCCAGGTGGAGCTGACATCATTTCGTCATCACCGACAGACCATCTGGGTCTACTTCAAAGCCACAGTTACTGGACATGTGTTTATGACGATGGTGGTACACATGATCTCCTGACACTGAATTTATCTATACACATCCACCGGGTGGAAGCTGCTTGTCTCCCAACTTGTTGCTTTAAGAACCTTTATAAATCGCTGCATATAATCGGTTATTATTCTTATTATCAAAGTTTTTGGAAAGTTGTTCAGAGGTAAGACGTAACTCTGGTTTATAGGCACACCTCCACTATATGCTTTGATCTCTTCTATATGCAAGTCAAATTTATAGAAGTGGCTTATTGAGCATCTTTGGCCTTTGTCATTATGGTGCCTTCATGGGCCTTTGGTACAAAGACATATTGTCCCTTAGTACTGATGGCTAACCAGGCAGTCTGGAACATCTGGTGAGGGGAAAACAACTTGGCACAGCTACTGTCTAACATGTCAGCAGGCAGATGGAAGGACCGAGCACGGTATGAATGGAAGAAAGGCCGAGAGACATTGGTCCCATGTCAGAGTCTGACATGTTAACTGTCAGAAGTCTCATTGCGTTTCAGTGCAATGAGAGTGCAATGTAGTCTATCAGGAAAACAGTATTTTAAACACAAAAAGCAAAGCTATGCAATGTAATACCCAGAGGTTTCCACATGCATGAGTGCCGGCTCCTTCACAGTTAGACAGAATATCTAGATGGAGTCGATGCATGAGCTTTGCGTTGCTTAATTGTTTGGCCACACTTGTTTTGCACCATACCTACAATCATGTGGTTGCAGACATCACAGAACGTGGGCTTCTTGAAGATGTGCTCCATGAAGCAGTGTCCTGCCGAGTCTACCTGCAGCGGGTTGCGTGATTGGGAGCGTGAGGTGGGAGGAGGAGCGCAGGGAATGGCTGGAGGGACCGGCGGAATGGGAAGGCTGGTGGTATGCGGCGGGGCCATCCCGATGTTGCAGAGATGGCCCGTGCTGCTGCTCACATCAGAGAGCAGCTCCGTCTTGTTCTCGCAGCTAGTTCGGAAAAAGTTGTCTGCACTCTTGCTACGGACGCTCTTGGTCTTGAAGGATAGGGAGCGCTTGAGTCTTTGCAGCTGAAAACAGAGAGTACAAGTTGAGGACAAACGGAGCAAGGGAAAGAAAATTTATGAAAGAGAACATTTTGAAGCAACTGATGCAGATATGAAGCCAAGTTAGCATCAAAACCTGAATAAATAACCCATCATAAGCCTTTCAATGCAATGTGTGGTGTCCAGTAAAAGGACAATTACTGAGGGTGTCACAGCCCAGGCGGAACGCAAAGTTTCCTCTATGGAACCTAGTGTGATTTCCATGTTAAGGAAAGTCATTCAATTCAAATTATTTCTCATTAAACGTACTGCCGCTATAGTAAAACTACTCAGAACACTCCACACTCACAGCTCCATATCTCAGTGTATACCCCTTCGTCCTGAGATCCATCCAAAAGAACTCTTATTTACCCATTGGACCACATGGCACCGTCTTGTCTTAAGCACTATAAACAGTCTGTGGGGATTTACTTCTGTGTATGTTCAAAGAAACAGATCTTATGGTGATATCATTCCCTTAAACAAATGTAGTTTGGTGAATGAACACACAGTACACTCCTTGTGTTTGTCACTTTTCTTTTAACATGCCTGAGCAAACTGCCCAGAGTAACTGCAGCTGTGGCATGACGAATCAATTCTACGGGTCACTCTGGAAACAATCGATTTTGACCCTTTTTCTACTGTTATCACCCACACACATGGATGCACACACACACGCAAACACACTTTCATAGTCGAACAGAGAACACACAGCATAAATGCATTCTCCTTCAACCTCTTGGTGCATCGTACCAAGCTTTGCACGTAGTGTTACAGCCTGACTAAAATTTTTAAAACTATTTTAACTGTATTTACTACGTCGTTGTACTTTTTTAAACAAGCTGTGACCAAAGCAGATGCATGTCTATATCGTGTTGCTAAAAAACATAAAGTGCAGTGAGGGAATGTGGGCATGCAGCTCATGCTCATTTCAATGGTGCAAAACCTATTGGTTTTATTATAAAGCAGGGAGGGTTAATAGAGATCAGATGAAGCACTGCGTAATAAACAGCAACAGTTCCTTATCACATTAGATTCAACTTCAGTCATTCATATACAAACCCCATTTCCAAAAAATGTTCAGAAATCTTTTAAAATTAAGCAAAAACCTAAATCTGTAATGAATTTGAACCATTATTTGATAGGCACAGTTATAATCAGGAATCACAGATAATATGCCAGCAATCCACCACGAATATTTGTAATAGAGGTGGGGAAAAAATGTGCAAAGGAAAAAATGTGGGTTTTGAAGAATCCTGTCTTCAGTAGATGAACTGGTCACGTGAGGGTGTCAGGATTGGGTATAAAAGAAGCATTCACCATAGACCACCAGTGCCTGCTTTGTCTTTTAATGTCTATAGTTCCCATCATCGTGACAAGAAAAATCTAACAGAACAAATAAGCCAAGCCTGACAGCCACTGTTAGATGTGCATGACCTTCAATGGGACTATTATAGCCGCCTCCTCCCGGACGTGACTTGAAAATCTGTCTTTCTGCACAGGGTGCTGCTGATTGACAGAAATGTACTGTCAATCTGAATTGTTCAATGGACACATCATACGGAGGGCACCATCTCCTCTCAGATAGCCTGAAAAACACACTTTTGGTCAGATAATGACTTGTTTAAATTGCTCATTGGTACATGCATGTATTTTTCTACATGAAAGGGTGTTAGTTTTTAATCAGTTTGACAAAACACTTAATTAAAAGGGAATCCACTTGTAATGACCCATGTGCTGGAGTTTTGGAAACAGTGTGACTTCATAGACACCGAGCGTGCACATAACTGGCATGTTTACACCAAAAACAGGAGATATAATACAATGGTAAAAGTACTTCATTCATAAGATTTTTAGAGACTCCAGTTTTTGTTATATTTTGGAAAGCTTCACGACTTCTCTGAAAATGGGGTTTGCATCTTGAAAGTGGAAGTGTTTTCTTAAATATGGGTGATGACGGATGTAACTTGACTTCTAACAGTGATCTTTCCTTAAAAGCAGTAAAAAATGTGATGTGTCTCTATGCACATGCAGGTACGCCATATGACGATGGTCAAATATCAGCCCTTTGCTACAGTTTACCCATGAATGGAGCCTCACCTTGCGCTTGTGATGTTCAGGCCTCACAGTATTCTTAAAGGAGGAATAAAGATACAGAAACAGCTTTACTTGATGGTCATTAAGGACTACTGGGGAACTTATTCCACTTATATATAAATGAAAACCAAACCCTTTTCTTTAATTACCTTTAAGGTCCACTTCTTATCACGTGACAGAGTTAAAGTAAGTGCACAAATATGGCAGAAGCCTTTAAATAAAGACAAAACACCAAGTAATGCAAACTGACAAAATAAAGTGTTTGTAGTTTTTTCTGTAATCTCAGCTGACAAGATTTGTCAGTATGACAAGCAGCTTCATTAAGAGAGAATTCACTTGTAATGGCCCATGTGTGAGAGTTTTGGCAACAGGAAAGAAAAAGACACCATAGCCATATGCCACCCTGATGACTAATCCAGTAATGAAGTTCTAATTGTAGGAGTTTGGGCAACATGTGACCCACATAGATTTTAAAATGCCCGAGGCAGCGGCAGATTTCTATCAAACCGACACAACTACACAAGTAGATTTTCAACATGAGTACATGGTCAATCTTGGTTAAAACATGAACTTGTTATTAAGCTTACTAGTCTTTTTAAGCCCCTAAATACTTGTTGAACATTACATTCAAAGATCAGTCATCAAAGTGAGCTGGACTTTAGAGGATCAGATGAGTTAATGGTATTGTAACATTGCATTGTATTTGCTGGATATTTTTATCATTCCTTTCTTAAAGTAACCTCCATGCTGTTTTAAAAGGCTCTTCTAGTGTGTTTTCATGCAGGTTGCTCTGTTCAAAAGAGAAGTTGGGTTGAATTTGATTCCAAGTTAGAAGTTTCTTTACTCTTGTCTGTTTCTTAAAGTTGGGCAATAAAAAAAAAAAGTCTGAAGTCCCACATCCAGCAGACCTACCTTGCTTTCCTGCTGGCTGACGCTGGTCGTGGGGGATTTCGGCGTCTCATCCTGCTCCTGTTCATCCTCTTTGCTCCCACTGTCCTCCTGAATCGCGTTGGCTGGCGGGATCATCCTCTCTATCTACGGTCTCTTTTGAAAAAAAAAAAAAAACACACACGCACGCACACCCTGTTGCTCTTTAGAGTTTGTTTCCTGCCAAAACTGTTTACATCGTTTCCATTCCTCTGGCAAGTCACGGCGACCAGAGGATAATAGGACTCATCCAGTCCTGCCGCTGGCAGAGAGAGAGAGATCCAGTAGGACAGATTAGTTCAAGTGTTGCAGTTACAAAGAAGCGGTCGTTTTTCAGAATCAGGAGTTGAATGGAATTCCAGTCGAGCTCTGAGTTGTCCAGTCCTTCTGAGGGGAATCTTTCTCCTGCGCGGTGCCGTCGTGCGTAAACCTCTCAAGAAGTCTGGAAGTCCAGGCTGAGCGCCGTGCGCCTTCCAGTGCCAATACTCCGCTGGGCGGAGAGCTTTAGGGGAGGGAATGGGAAGGAGGAGAGTATGACACAGTGACAACGTCTTCCCAAGATCTACACGCAAGGCACACTTACAGAAAACAGTTTAACAGATATTCTCAAAGCTAATACATCATTAAACATATGGTTTGCTTCCAGGGAATTCCTTTTCATAAAAAAAAAAGCTGGGAAATTTTTAATCAGCCACTTATGTTGCACATAGGTTTTGAATTGAGTAAATTTTGCTTGTCCCAATAAACCTTTACAAGAATATAGTTGGAAGACCAAACTAATCTGGAGACCCTTCCTGCCTTTAAAAGTCTCAGTTTAAAATATTATAATAGCTCAAATTACAAATGGCATTTCAGGTTCTAGATAAAGAGGTTTTAAATGTTTTCTGGCATCAATAATTGTATAGTCTGTTTTGTTTCCTCTGAATAAAACACCATTGACTTACCTGCAATGCAGATTTTACCTGATTTACCAGGCCAGTATCTTTTAAGTGAGATTGTAGATAAGCAGGACAGGTGCTGTATATTGGGGACATGAACACTTTTTCCGGGAAAATGGCTGTGGGACTTTTATTCAGGAGCTGGAACATAAGTGGACACTTTCTACAACTGGGTGATGAGACAAATGACATAAACAATGTTCACTGGTGAGCTTTGGACGTGCCAACCATCTGTTGAATTCTACTTTTTAGTGTGAATGTCTGCATTTGCGTTCTGCCACCATATGTTTACAAAGATAAACAAAAATAACCCTCTTTAGTATATATGATAAAATATGAGGCTTCTCACCCACCTTGGATGCAATATGTGGACTGTCCATTGTACTGTAACAGTATTTTACTTCCCTCCAGGCTCCCCAGTGATGCGATGTCCTTGAAGTTAAAATGCAGGATGAAGGAGGCAGGCGGGGGGTTAGGTGACATTACTTTTTTTTTTAGGCTATAACATGGAGTTGTGTTATTTGTACAACAGAGGGCCAACTGCTATTTACAGTTTACAGCATCATCAAAAAGCAAATTCAACAGTTGGTCATGGACATTAGAGAGAGCCGCGTTTTGGTGTACTGAAAAAGTACCTGGGAAATAGTACACATGCTAACTACTTGTGTATCATTTCCCATGTTTCGAAAAGTAATAATTTTTGACCTAATACTGAAGAATAATAGCAACGTTTAAAAGTATTAATACCCATGAAGGTCAATAGTGGGATTAAGCTATAGTTCACTCCTTACAGACAAACATACTGTAATTTAATAACATAAATTCTCTAAGAAGTATAAGTTTAGAGTTGTAAATTCCTGTGTAATCATCACTTGGGGAAGAAATATATTTGATAACGTCTACATCAGAACTTTGTGTTATCCTGAAAAATTAATATTTCGAATTGTCTATTTCTTGCATCTGTCAAATTATTTTGATCAACAGCTAAATTACATAATCTGATTATATAATTATATAATCTGAAAATATTAATAGATTGAACATGATATATCTTTGGTAGATATCTGATAAGAAAACAAATTACAACAAAAACAAGTGGAATTCTTGTGTGTTGACAGAAAAGCTCACCACCTGGAGTAGAGCAGACAATCCCCTGGGTTAGTCAACCAGAGCGTGAGTCAGTACGCGCATGCATGTCCATGTGGTGTGTGGTTATTGTGAATCATGTCCGTACAGAGACCCACACACATGACCAGTTGCTCCAGGAAGCATGAGGAAGGAGAGAATTAACTGTGAAATCAAGACGGGGAAGGAACATTGTAATTTCCTCCGTCAGCTGCTGGGCCATGACAGTGGAAGGAAGGCGCGAGAGGATGAGAGAAGAAAGAGGAAACGATGAGGGAGGATGGGACAGAGGACCAGAGTGATAGGGGTTAATTATTCCAAATGAAAGGTTTTATTAAAAGAAATACGAATAGCCAAGTTTTGCAGGGTTTTATGGCTCACGGTTTCTAGCTTGTAATTGAGTTGAATTTCTCCTTCTTCGTACAGTTGTGTTGTGTTGTTTCATATAAAATAAAAGAAGAGTGAAAAAAAGGTCCCAATTGTGACCTCTTGCTGTTTTCTTGAACCCTGATCTATAACTGTCACAATATGAGACTATAAAGCTCTACTTAAAACTTGTCTGGATGAAATTAAACAGCAGTGTTGTTTTTTTCAATGTAAAAACTTTGAACATTTTTCAACAAGTCATTTTGACAATGTGTGGGTCATTTTATTTGATTTTTATGGTGAATAATGTAAATTAAAAGTATCATGTTGTGCCCCAGTTGACTTTCCAAATGTTCAAAGTATCACATCAATGTCTTTTTTTATAACCGTATGTTGAATGTTAGGTGTTGAATCCATTTGTTATTTGATGAGCACAAGATGTTGTTTGTTACACTAAATCATTTTTTGTTCACACTAGGCGTTGCACGTCTTTATTACACTTGTACTTGATGAAGTACTGCATTTGGCATGTGAGAGGTGTTCGCGTGTATGTGGTGTGACCATTTTGTTGGTTGCTAACACAGAATTGACTGCTTCAGTGAGTGCTTAACACTTTGCACAAGAAAATGATGAAAAACAGTGTCACTGCAGCTACGGATCTCTGGTTCCTGCTGTTGAGATAATCCGCTCAAAAAAAATCAGTCTCTCTATCAGACAATGATTGGCTTTTGATATATAAGCATGCTGGTGTTTGCGATCAGCATTTCTCAAACTAAATGTGCAAAATATGTTACAACTGGGAATAGAAGTCAGCGAGATATCCTCAAAGAATCACTTCTCGATTAGCTGTCAAGCAATTTCTCAGAATCAGTTTTGATGTCAGCTATCAAAGTGTGTGATGATTATTTTTCCTGCTTGTGTCTTGAACACTGGGAGAGGTTATGAAAGGCCCTTCCAGACTTTGTCACCCCTGCATGTGCTAATCTCCACATTTTGCCTCTTTCTGGTGGGAACTCGGCTCCTCTGGGAGACTCAACATGTCACAAGCTATTCTTGGACCGCAGTAACTGGCTCCTACACACGCCATTTCCATCAGTTTCAGGTGCCAAGAAGACATGCTGATGGCTGATCCTGTCATAAGATAAATCAAAGTCAGGGGCTCAGTAAAGCACTGAGATATAAAGGATGTATGGCTGTATCATGAGTTATCAAAAGATCACATTTTTTATCAAGATTTTTTTAAACCTTTATTAGCTAATAACATGTTTTCCTATTCGCACCATCATGTCAGTTGAGCTTATTCCAAGGAATCTCTCTTATTTAAATCTTTAAAGATTTTGTTGTTTGTCTGAAAGCAATTCTGGAGATATCTGTGGATAAAAAAAATTCAGGACAAACTTTAAAAAGCAGCGAGGCATAAAACAGAAATGATAATTTGTGTATGAAACCGAAATGAAGAACATCAAAATATTTGATCAGATTTAAATAGCTGAATATTGCTATTTAATGTTTGTCGTTTGGGGGTGTTCATCATCAATATATTCTACCTAGTTCAAAGCAAAGCGTAAAATGTTAGCAATTACCACTGACCCAGCCTGACATTATACAACACACACATGCACACAAACACACACACGTGTCTCAGTATGTCTTACAGTAATGGGCAACTGGATTCCCTAAGAAACCAGACTAATTAGCTATCTTATTATGAGCCACCCTTGGAACGGCCTCTGCAGGGTACAACCAAGTAATGAGAGCCGGGGATATTCTAAACGTGTGTGCTCATTTTCTGTGTGCTGGAGAAAGATTACACATTTATCAAATGAATCTTCTGAATGAGCACATCCGTAACAACAATGAAAAGTTATATGTAGACAAATCATATCATGTATGCCTATGTATAGCAACACACTCCTTTTAATTCAAATCAAAGATCTTTGTAGCTTTATTCTACTTGGAAGTACAAAGGGGGAGGCACCTCCACAAGTAGAAAAAAAGAGCTCAAGCTAAAGACTTTATGGTAACCAGGTTGGTTACTTGGCAAAGTTTTGAGTGATGAAAAGTCTTATGCGAAAGAATGTATCGATCCTCTTTCCAAAATCCGTAACAAAGGAATGCAGCTATTGTGCTTTCAAGCATGTTTCATGGTGTGTGCAACATAGGTGGCTGATTCCAAATTTGTTTAACTTTGCTTCATCCTCCCATGCTGATTCATGAATCTTCAGCACCTAACAGGATCTCACACCTCCGAGGTGTAAATCTCATCCAACGGAGATATTGAACATTCTGTCAGTTTTCCTCACAGGATGCTGACTGATTAAGTGTTGCTGCTCAAATTTAAACACTCATCTCTCATTGTAGAATTTGATTCAGCCATGTCTCAATGAATTTTAAAGACAGGGCTGAAAACGCAAACATCTTATTGGTTGCTCTTACTCTGTCATACTAACAGAATCATGTCCTGTTTTATTTAGACTTTGGCAACAATTCAAGCCAGAAATCTGTTCGTTTCCAGCCATGCTGTTAATCTGTACAGACCATGGCTAGCCATCTTTCATTGGCCAGTGAGCCCCCATTCTTTCTCTTCTGCTTTTGATACCTGTGGGTGATACAAATTTTCAGCATCCTAAGCCAGAAAAGCTAATCGGCATCTAACTGGCAAATTACATT